GAGATTCCACCTTACCCCAGAAAGAATGGCTGCTATCATGAAATTAACCAATAACAAATGCTGGTGGGGCTGTGGGGGAAAAGGAACACTGCTCCACTGCTGGTGGGAGTATAGACTGGTGCAACCATTGTGGAAATCAGGATGGAGATACCTCAAAGAACTAGGGCTAGAGGTCTCATTTGACCCTGCTTTTTCCCTACTGGGTATCTTCCCATAAGAGTTAAAAGAAGCATATATAGTGATATATGTGCACCCATGTTTATAGTGGCACAGTTTGTAATAGCTAAAACTTGGAAACAGCACAAATGCCCATCAACTGGAGACTGGATAAAGAAAATGTGGTTTTAAAATAAAATGGAGTACTACCCAGCCATAAAGAATGAGAAACTGGAAACATTTATAGCTAAATGGATGCACATTGAGGCCATACTCTCAAGTGAAATAAATAGGACACACGTGTAAATACCGAATAGTTTCTCTAGTGTGAGAAACTGAAAGGGTGAATAAGGACTAAAAGGTATAATAGATCATGTAAAATAGGAAGAAAATCTCCAAAGGGGAAGGGGAAGTGGGAGGGGTGGAGAAAGGAAAGAAGGGAATGGAATTAATATGTGAAAGTGAAAAAATGGAAACAAAGTCTTTGTAAATAAGGAGGGATGGAGTGGTTGAAGGGAGGGCAGGGGAATGAGGAAAAAATAAGAACCAAGAGAGATTATGTAAAGCTACAAATTTCCAATGATGAATGTAACTGTATTGTATACTTAAAATGTACCAGTAAAATTAATTTTTAAAACGGTGTAGGGCCAGGGATTTAGCTCAGTGGTGCTGCCACCTGCCTCACAAGTGTAAGGTCCTGAGTTTGAGCCCTGTAACCAAAAAAAAAAAAAACAATGGTGTATTCCTTCTTTAATTCATTCAGATCATCACTGAGTATTTGTTGAACACCTAGCTTTACAGACACTTGGCTAGGTGGAAAAATTTACTAGTAAATCATGAGAAAATGATGGTGAGGAAGTAGGAGTTGCAATGGAGACAGAAACATCTAATCACATGGGAGGAGCTCAAGGGAGACTTCACTAGAGAAATGGGCGTAACTTGAGTTTGGAGGATGAAAAGGAGTAAGACAAGTGCAAGGGGTGGAGAAGGAGCAGAGAGTGGAGCAAGACCTCAAGATACCATGCTGCAAAGGAAGTAAGACAGATCTAAAAAGGCACTTGCCTGATTTTTCCTTAGCAGACTGCAGCAACATGTACTCCATCTCTAATTCATTTCTCAGTCTACAAATTGATAATAAAAGTAGTGAAACACTAGTATCATATTTGTATCTTTTTTCTTTTGTCTCTTTTATACTAACATCATTTTATTGAGGAACAAGTCTGATCTTACTTTGTAATATAAAAAGGAAACTAAAGGTCTAAAGGGGAAGGGGAAGTGGGAGGGGTAGGGGAAAGGAAAGAAGGGAAAGGAAAAAATATGAGAAAAGGAAAAAATGGAAACAAAGTCTTTGTGAATAGGGAGGGGTGGAGGGGTTGAAGGGAGGGCAGGGGAGTGGGGAAAAAAATAAGAACCAAGATATATCATGTAAAGGTACAAATTTCCAATGATGAATGTCATTGTATTGTATATCTAAAATGTACCAATAAACTTAATGAATAATAAAAAAGAATACTTTAGAGAGAAAAAAAAACGAGGAAACTAAAAATGTCTATAAAGTGAAAGCCCCAGCCATTCAAGTTAAAGGAGCAAAAGGATACATTCTTGTCATTAAAAATTGGTTCTCTGAAAAGAAATTGTTTTTATACTGTCTGATATTATTTTGTGGCTTGAATTGCTAAGGAGAAAGAGAGAGAGAGTGAGAGCGCATTTTATATGCAGAGGCAAAAAAGAAATGAAGGGAAATCCCTTACTGAGATTAGAATACACACTGCATTTTTCCTGTGCATTATAATTGCATCCCACAGATAAAATTTATAAATTCCACTATATTTGAGCTGAAACAAATACAAGACATATTTGAAAAGAAGAAAGAAAACTTCTGTAACTTCTTTGCACTTTCTTCTTGGGGCAAAGTAAACTGAATAAACTATCTTATTCTTAATAGGTTTAAGGAGAAAAAAAGTAGTCTAATAGGTGCAACATAAAGGAGAGAAATGCTGTGATTTGGTTAAAAATCTGAACACTACAGTTTGATTTCATGACACTTGTCTGTAAGGGACATAACAATTTAAGATGTTCACACGTATTTGCTCATTTTATCACAGAATCCATATAAAGGACACACTGTAATATTTTAATTTCACATAAATTGCTGTAAACAAATTGTTTATACACACTCTTCTCACAGTGACAAGAATGATGGGATAAGTATGTTCAAAGCAGGGAGGATTATTCTGAAGGGGATTTATTACCATGTGTCATTTATTGTAATAAATTTTTTAAATTAAACATCCACTATATTTTTTGATCAGACCTCGTATGCTACTGCCTGTCTGTCAGTGTAGCAACATGAACAGGTGCCTGTGGGGGCCAATCCACGCCCCCCATAAGCACAAATGTTTCAGACAGTTCCTGTCTTCTCATGGGCCCCACAAAGTGAGCTGTCCACTTCTGCTCAGATCTGTAAGCAGCAAACTTCTGTTATTTCCTGAATTTGGCTGAGCTGCCTGCTCTGAGTCTCACCTGACTACACACTTATACCTAACTCCTCCAGGTCAGAGAGAGAATCCATCTTCCTGTGGATAAATTGCACACAGGTCAGACAAGGGCCGAAGGGCATCTACCAGTGTAGACAAGTTTCTTGTGACAGGGATCCCGGTCTCAGGTCAGACATGTGGGCAGTGGGCCTGCAGGCCAGGATGAAGAAGTTATCTGGTTAAATGGACTCTGTGAACAGCCCCCTCCTCTGGGCTTCTTGGGGAAGACAAGAGCTTACAGTTATGCTGTGAGAGGGACCTTGAGACCATGGTAGAGCAAAAGACAACAGCTGTCTTTCTGCTAGTCACACTGAAGGCATGTTCTATATTTGGTTTTGTTTCTTGTTTTGTTTTCTTGAGGACATTTTCGTTGTTTCAAACTTGCTTAATCTTTTCTTTTTTAAAATCCCTGTAAAACGTATGCTTGTCCAACTGTCATTTGAACCTGGAAGACCACACAGAGAGGTCATAGAATTTTTTTAAGTAGAGAAACAAATAAGGGTATTCCTATGAGGTGTCTTGACTTTGTGGCTCTCTCATCTATCAATACCAGAGCCAGCACACAAAAAAATGGGATTCTTTTAGATTCCCCTAAAGTTCCCTCATAACGCCACTATATTTGGTACAATATCCTTGTCATGTCCTCGATGACTGTGGAAGAGGCCAGGTGACAGGAAGACATCGGTAACTGTAGCCTGTAACCATGCAGAAAGATGTAGATACATGATCATCACACAGTTTTAAGGTCTTTGAAACAAGTATCAGCCAAACCTAGGTGAAGTCAGGTTACTAAGGCCTCACATGTCATTGTTCTCCAGGGCTGCCTTGGTGGCCCGCACAAGCCTCCTCAGCTCCCTCTTGGCCTGATCAACATCCTCAGGCCTCACAGGGCCCTTCTCCAGCCCTTGGACTTCTGCCTGGAGCATCTAGGAGGGCAAGGCAAAGCAAGGGTAAGGCACACCGAGGAAAGGCACAGGACCATTTCTTTTTATTGGTGCTGGGTACTCAAGGTGCCCCGGATTAAAAATAAAAATTCCAGCTAAAATAGGCACATTGAGAGGACTGGAGGGAGGGAAGGAGAGATACTGCAGGATGTATGACTGGTCAAGTGAAATTCTAGGGAAAGTGTCTCTTTTAGTATTTTAAAATTTTATTTTCCTATGAAATTTGTAAAGGGTAAGCATTTCATGGTTTCATTGTGTGTGTGTGTGTGTGTGTGTGTGTGTGTGTGTGTGTTGGGCAGGCATGCTGAATAAAGTGACTCAGGTACACTATTATCAGCTCCACAATTATTTCTCCTAAATTAGTGAAAAAACAATCATAAGCTGATTGGTGTACATGAGAATAAAACAGTACTGTACTCAAATGTGGAGTGCAAAGGCCTCTGCCTCATTGGGAGGTTGGCAGAGGCTTTTTAGCAACAGAAAGTTCCAGAATCCTGGCAACCTGTGGCTTCCTGTATTCCAATGTCTGACTGAGATCTGGACATAAAAGGTCCTTTTATATTCTACCTCAAAAGTAAGGAACAGGAAAATAAACCTCTAACTCAAAGCTTTGCTTTGTTTGCTTTGTCTTGCAAAGAGAAAAGTTCATTTTCACATATAGTACCATAGCGAGGCTCAAAACAAAGAAAATCATGTCCACCTCTGATTTTGAACTAGAAAGTAAGTTAGAACTGACCTCTGTTCATGCTGCAGTGTTTTTTTCAACAAAATAAGGAACTATGGGACAGGCATTTAGCTCAGTGGCACCTCGCTTGCCTCGCAAGCCCAAGGTCATGAGTTCAATCCCTGGTAGCGGGTGGGGTGGACTCGTGTTTCCAAATTTACAAGACAAGAGTTTTTCAACTTCACTGAATTCAAACTATCAAAGCCAACCAGTGTTGGATTCTGAGTCTTTGAAAGTGATAGATTACTCCTGTAGTGTATCCCCTCACTAGAACAAGTGTATGTTTAACCTAACCCTGCAGAAGTCACTAGTTAAATGAGGAGATCAGGTTCCTCACAGTGCATTCCTTGTGTTTTCCTCTCAAGATAACACCTGAGCGATGCCTTTTGGTTCTCAGTGCCATAGCACCATCTATAATCCCAAATTAGAGAGGAGAAGGAGAGGGGGAGGATGGGAGGAGTAGAGGGGAGGGGGAGGGGTGGGGGAGGGACAGGGAAAGGAGAGGAGGGGAGGGAAGGGAGGGAGGAGACTTCATCAGTCCTTCAGAACATTTTCTACTGGTCAGGAAATGCAGACCCATGTACAAACAGATGACATATACTTCAGGATTGATTGTTACCTTAATCTGCTCTGTAGGCTGGGAGTCCAGAAGTACTGCCATATAGAGTTCATACTCGTTCTATACACACACACACACAAAGAATCCATTAGAAATGTGTTAGAAGATAATGCCACTTTGCAAAGTTCTTGTCTGTCTAAATAATACAGGGATTAAGGATGTCAGTTTCAATTTTCAAAAAGTATATAAAATGTTCCTGTGGTGTATTAAACCACACACACTAACATTTATGAAACTGAATATTCTTTGAAGCATGTTTAGATATTAAGTTCTAATCACTTCAACATGCTATCATAAACTACCTTGCCCACATACAACAAATGGTCCCCTGCCGGCCAGAAGTTCTGTGGATGTGGGTGTTGCTGCCTGCCAAAGGGGAGCTTTCCAGTGACAAGGGCATCTCTGGACAACAGGCCACTACCTGCCATTGGTAACCATCCCTTGTTACTAGAGAAGTTAGAGAACAGCACCCTGGTTAACCAACATAATTTCAAATCAGATTCGACGTGATGGTTGCTTTCATCAAGAAAGAAACCTATAATTACATAAAGATTCATGTAAAACTGCATACCTATGATTATAAAAGTTTATAAGCTACACATGTACCATGTATATAATTAGGAAGCTTCAGTGGACAAACATGAGCTTAGGCAGTGAGGTAACCGGGGGCTTATTCCACACGGCCCTGAATGCTGTATGTGGCTGTGGCCAAGGTCATACAGGGCTTTTGATGTTCTGCTCCATGCAATGGGGACCATGAGGCATGAGATCATTCCCCAGAGTATGCAGGCAAAAAAATCGCAAATAGCTCTCCATTGTTATGCAGGACATGTATGTTTTGCTTACCTTAATGTCTTTCAAGAGGTCACCAAATATTAGAGAGCTGTTGCAAATGTCCTCAAAGACATCTCCAAAAACCTGCAGCCTGTTGAACTCTTGAGAGTTGCATGTGCATATTTTCTGGAGTTCCTGGGGAAAAGAGAATGAGCCCATTGTCTATGGTCTTCATGTTCAGAACTTCCTCAGGCTGAGGAACCGAAAGACACAGCAGCCATCACCCAGGGTGCCTGGTCTCCATTAAGCAGGTGGGAAACCAAGGTGATCCTGAAGTTTTCCCACCAGCCACTGAGAGCCTGATCATGAGTGCTTGGTTGATTTTTGTCTTTTTTATCCTTATCTGACCTTCCTCTGTTTCCTGTACCCAAGGGCCCAAGATTCTCTTCTCCTCCTCCCTCTTCCTCTCCTCTACTGTCCCCTCCCCTCCCCTCCCACTTCCTCCAGTGTTCCCATAGCCCCTTCTTTGTTTCCATGAGCAAAGCCTCTGGCCTAATTATTTCATAGTTACAACGTGTAATCAAAATATACTGTAAATGTTTAAATTTTGAGAATGTATTATATTAGAAGACATATTATCTTTAACCCCCTCACAATAGTCCCAATTCATGTCGAACCCACTTATCCCATTGTTCTTGCAACTTTCTGAAGCAGTTCTGGAAGTTCTCTTTTGTATCTTTATGAGTTGTGATTTAAAAAAAAATACGGTGAATCCTGCTCTCTAGTGCCATCCAACAGAAAGGCAGGCTCACAAAAACATCATGGTGTGTCCTCATCCACTTTACTCACCAGATCTGGAACTGTACAACTTCTGGCTCTTTACCAAAGGCAATGGGACCATGAAAGGTAAAGGTTTTGAACCAATTCAAGACAGACATCAAGGTAGCCACAGCAGTGCAACTGAAGAGGGCTTCCAGAATTGCTTCAGAAAGTGGCAAGAATGGTGGGATAAGTGTGTTTGAAGTGAGTGGGAATATTCCAAGGGGGATTAATGGAAATGTGTCTTTTACTATAATAATTTTAAAAATTTTTTATTTGTACATGCTTTCAGTGCACAATGACTATATTCATCCTGGGGAATTGGTACACACACATATCACATCTTGGTACTTTGTACTTCCCCTTCCCTTTCCTCCTACCTATCTCCCCTATCCAGGTCCCCTTCCCATTTTTACAAAGTTTGTCTCCCTGCTTTGCTGCACTTGTCAGTCACACCTTACAGATCCTATTTTCTTCTCTCCCAACCATGTGCTCTTTCCCATGTTCCATGCCAGCTCTGGGCAGGCACTGTGGACTCTGTGGGTGACGTGCTGGCATCCTGCTCACTGTCTCACCTCTATAGTGTTCTTCCACAGTAAGGTGGGCATACCTTTGCTCAGATCCCACACTGTCTATGCTATTGCCACACAGAGTGTCTATCACTTCTGAAGATGAACTTCCCTCCAACTTACCAGTGTTCAAATGGCACCTTCTACTGCGCCCTCTTATCACCTACTGATTATTCAGTGTAATCTCAGCACTTGACAGTTTCATTCCATTCTACCTGCACATATAAACAAAGTACTCGAGGACAATTTTCAGCCCACCGGGGCCCTTGAACTGGAGCCCTGTGTGGACAGAACTGCAAATGGCCCTTCTTACCTGTTCCAGCTTCTTTTCATGGCTGATTGCCACCTTGCTCCCAGTGAAGCCACTCTTCAGATCTTGCTTTGCCACAACTTCTTTTTGGAAACTCAAGAACTTCTTATACCTGTCAGCCTTTGTCACACCAGCTAGGTAGGAACTGACATACTGGTACTCATCTCTGCTTGGGGGAGACAGGGTGCACTCACGGCTGGACTGTGCTTCTCTGAACCTCAGCACCTTCATCTCAGGCAACCTGAGTTCCTCTCTCCGGCGTCGCTCTAAGAGGCGCTCAAGGACCTCTTCTTCCTTTTCTTCTTCCTGGAGAATCTGCTTTGGGATGAAATTTTCAGGTGCATGCAAAGTTTGTGAGGTTTGTGCTCCAGGGTTTAAATACCTGAAGAGCTTCATGTTCTGGGTATCACTGGGAACCAGTGCTGTGTTGATGGTAAAATAAGACAAAGCGTCCTTCATCTCAGCAGTCTTCCCACCCCCTGCCTTTCCTGTTCTTGATGGGGAGACGGTCTCCCACCTTGGCCTGCGGGCATTGTGCCAGTGATGCAGGATGGTCTCCTGTGGCCTATACAGCTTGTTGGGGTTCAGGTGCCCTGAGATGTAGACACAGATGTCCTCTCTGTGGTCCTTCTGGAGTCTGTTCAGAAGCCCCCTTAGGTTGCAGAGAGTTTTGACACTGCGCAGCTCACAGTGTTTCCGCCTCAGGAAGGCTGTTTGCAAAAGATAACACAACTGTGAGATAACGTACTTAGTCCCACCATAAACCAGCCATGCTTATTGGCTGAGCTGGCATATCCCATACCCAAAAGTGCGGTCTCCAGAAAGGCTGTGGCTCTAAGGCTATTAAGGAAGAAAGAAGTATTTTAATTTCACAGAGTACCTATTACAATGTTAGCAAAGCTCTAGAAGAAAAGTCTAAAACATTAATTATAATTCTTAATGATGGTGCATAAAGATGCCTTCTTAAATGCACTAAACATGATATTCTAGGGAGTAAATAAAGGGAGTCATTTTTTTTCCTTTTGCACTAAAAAGTGTCAGGATCCCCTATGACTGATGTGCCTTTCATTTCCTGCCCTGTCCTCACAAGGAATCAACTATGGGTATGGTGACAGGACACTGACCCCTCCCACACAGGGCCCTGCTCACTGAATTCCCCACTGACAGGGCTGCATTTCAGAACAAGGCCCAGGGTATAAAATTGACAGGAATCTTAATTTCCCTGCTTATTCCTAACTATATGAGTGCAGAGCTATTATATCATCTCTCTGAGCCTTAGTGTCTTCCTCTGCAGAATCAAGATAATTGCTAGTGCAAAACAGCTCCTTAACACCCAAGAAATCACTTCGGGCAAGGAGACTCTTGGCCTGGAGTGGACATTCCATCATTTGTGCCCATTCTTACTACAGCACTGCAGCTCTAAACACTTCTGAAAGATTCTGAGTCAGCCTGAATTTGTCCTTATATGATCTGTCATCTAACACAAGGGAGGAGGAGGGCTTCTTCCTGGGCTACTATGCAGCATGATGTCCCCAGAGCCGGTGGCACAGCCTCCTCAGAGAGCCTGAGAGGACTAAACAAGAAAGATTTCATAGGATGGAAAAATAGGAACAAAATCTTTGTAAATAGGGAGGAATGGAGGGATTGAAGGGAGGGCTGGGCAAGGGTGAAAAATAAGAACGAAGAGAGATCATGTAAAGGTGCAAATTTCCAATGATGAATGTCATTATATTGTATACC